ACAAAAACTGCTAGGAAAACTGGAAAAGAGTATGGCAGAAACTAGGCAGAGACCAAAATCTCACACCATATACCAAAATAAAGTCATAATAGGTTCATGATTTAGATACAAAGGCTGATACTGTAAGCAAACTGGGAGAGCAAGGAATAGTTTACCTGTCAGATTTATGGAGAACTGAAGAATTCATGACTAAACAGAAAATAGAGAACATTACAAAATTCAGAATGGATAACTTTGATTACATTAAATTGAAAAATTTTTGCACACACAAAGCCAATGCAACCAAGATTAGAAGGAAAGTAGAAAATTGGGAAAGAATTTTTACAACCAGTGTCTCTGATAAGTGCCTTATTTCTAAAATATATAGAGAATTAAGTCAAATTTATAAGAATACAAGTCATTCCCCAATTGATAAATGGTCAAAGGATATGAACAGGCAGTTCTCAGATGAAGAAATTAAAGCCATCTATAGTCATACAAAAAATGCTCTAAATCGCTATTGATTAGAGAAATGCAAATCAAAACAACTCTGAGGTACCACATCACACCTATCAGATTGGCTAACATGACAAAACAGGAAAAAGATAAATATTGGAGAAGATATGGGAAAATTGAAACACTAATGCATTGCTAGTGGAGTCGTGAACTGATCCAACCACTCTGGAGAGCAATTTGGAACTATACCCAAAGGGCTATAAAACTGTGCATACCCTTTGATCCAGCAATAGCACTACTAGGTCTGTATGCCAGATCATAAAAAGGGAAAAGGACCCGCATGTACAAAAATATTTATAGCAATTCTTTTTGTGGTGGCAAAGAATTGAAAATTGAGAGGATGCCCATTAATTGGGGAATGGCTGAACAAGTTATGGTATATGAATGTAATGGAATACTGTTGTTCCATAAGAAATGATGAGCAGGTAGATTTCAGAAAAACCTGGAAAGACTTACATGAACTGATGCTGAGTGAAATGAGCAGAACCAGGATAATGTTGTACATAGTAACAGTCACGTTGTTCGATGACTAATACTGATAGATTTAACCCTTCTCAGCAATGCAAGGATCTAAGACATCTCCAAAGGCGTCATGATGGAAAATGCTATCCACATCCAGGGAAAGAACTATGGAGTTTGAATGCAGATCGAAGCATACTATTTGCTATTTTTTTTTCTTCTGTTGTGTTTTGTTTCCTCTTTCTAGTGGTCCCTCCTTTTAGTTCTAATTTTTACTTACAACATCCCTAATGTGAAAATATGTTTAATAAGAATGTATATGTATAGCCTATATCAGATTGTGCACCATCTTGAGGAGGGAGGGAGGGGTAGAAAAATTTAAAACTCAAAAGCTTATGGAAGTGATTGTTGATAATTCAAAATAAATTAATAAAGAAAAAATGAAAAATGTTTATCAATTGATTACATATATGTAAATGTGTGTATATATATGTATGTGTGTATATGTCTCAAGTGTATGACCTAGCTCTGAATGATGTCAAAATGACCACAGATACCCAAGACAGGGATGCTTGTCATTTTCATTTCCTTCCTGGTCCAGGAATTTCTCAGCTTGGTCCTTTTTATCTAACACCAATTCCTCTATACATAGTTCCCTAGAGCAGTGGTGTCAAACAAATAGAAAGAGGGCCACTTAAAGGTACATAAGGATCCTTGCTGGCACATATGAACTTAGAAAATTACATATTAACATTATCTATGTCTAATTATATATTTATTTTGTTAGATGTTTCCCAATTACATTTTAATCTGGTTCTGGCTGCGTTCTGGAGTGCCCCGTGGCATTATGTTTGACATCTGCACCCTAGAAGAGCCGTTCAGCTATACAGGCCCAGGTGCAAGGAATCATCAATCAACAATTATCATCATTGTCCATATGTCAAGAGGACATCATCAATAGGGGATCAAGATCTAGGAAAGTTCTTTTTTTATTTCTTAAATTTTTAATTCAATTTTCAGTTCCAAATTCTCTCCCTCCCCCACCCATTAAGAAGGCAAGAATTACAAAATTTATTATACATATGAAGTCATGAAAAACACATTTCTAGATTAGCCATGTTCTGAAACAACAAAAAACAAAAAAGAAAGAGAAAAAAATATGCTTTAATCTGCAAAGTCCATTGCTTCTCTATTTGAAAGTGGATAGTTGTTTTATCATGAGTCCTTTGTGTTGATCAGTTACTAAATCTTTCACATTGTGAGCATGTACATTGTTCTCCTGGTTCTGCTCACTTTACTTTGTAGTTCGTGTAAGTCTTCCCAGGTTTTTCTGAAACCATCTCTTTCATCATTTCTTTCTTTCTTTTTTTGGGGAGGCAATCAGATTTAAGTGACTTGCTCAGGGTCACACAGCTTACAGTAAGTGTCTGAGGCCAGATTTGAACTCAGATCCTCCTGACTCCATGGCAGGTGCTCTAACCACTCTGCCACTCAACTGCCCCTCCCTTCATCATTTCTGGGCAGCACAAAAATGTTCTATCACATCCATATACTACAAGTTCAGCCATTCCACAACTGATGGGCATTCCCTCAGTTTCCAATTCTTTGTGATCACAAGAAAAGGTGATATAAATATTTTTATACAGATGGGTCCTTTTCCTTTTTCTTTGATCTCTTTGGTGTATAGACCTAGTAGCGGTATTGCTGGGTCAAAGGGTATGTACAGTTTTATAGCTTTTGGGGCATAGTTTCAAATTGCTTCCCAAACTGGTTGGACTAGTTCACAGCTCTACCAACAGAGCATTAGTGTACCTATTTTTCTGCATCCCCTCTAGCATTTGTCATTTTCCTTTTTTTGTCATCTTAGCCAATCTGATAGTTATAAGGTAGTATCTCAGAGTTGTTTTAATTTGCATCTCTTTAATCAATAGTGATTTAGAGCATTTTTTATATGATTATTGACAGCTTTGATTTCTTCCTCTGAAAACAGCTTGTTTATAAACCTTGACCATTCATCAATCAAGAAATGGCTCTTATTCTCATAAATTTGGCTCAGTTCCCTATATATTTGAGAAACAAGACCTTTGTCAGAAAAACTTGCTGCAACCTGCCCCCCCCCCCAGTTTCCTGCTTTTCTTCTCATTTTAGCTGCATTGGTTTTATTTGTGCAAAACCTTTCTAATTTTATATAATCAAAATTATTGATTTTTCCTCCTGTTAACCTTTTTATCTCCTGTTTGGCTATAAATTCTTCCTCTATCCATAGATCTTACAAGTAATTTCTTCTAGAAGAGGTGTTTTTAACATTTTTTTTTGTGTCAATGGGTTTCTTTGGCAGTCTGGTAAAGCCTATGTATTCTTTCTCAAAATAGTGTTTTTAAACATACAAAATAAGTAAGATGACAATGGAAACCAATTATATTGAAATACAGTTGTTAGAATATTTATTTTAAAAGTTGAAGGAGGGGCATTTAGGTGGCCCAATGGATAGAGGACTGGCTCTGGAGTCAGGAGGACCTAAGTTCACATCTGACTTCAGACACTTACTAGCTGTGTGACCCTGGACAAGTCACTTAACTTCAATTGCCTCAAAAAAATGTTGAAGGACTTCAGGTTAAAAACCCCTAAAGTCTAGTACAATTTCTGATCAAACGGCATAACACACAACACATTTTGCACACCCTAGAGCAGGAGTGGGTAACCTTCAGCCTCCAGGCCACATGTGGCCCTGTAGTTTAGATTTAGTCAAAAGGTCTTGAGGACCCAGAGGGCCACATGTGGCCTAGAGGCCATAGGTTCCCCACCCCTGCCCTAGAGCTATACACATACTACTTGTAATTACTATTATTACTCCTAAATACTTGTGTGTATACATGTAGTATCTCCTTTAGGATACGAATTCTTTCTTTCTTTCTTTTTTTCCTTCTCTCTCTCTCTCACCAGCACCTAGTATATAACAGGTACTTAATAAATATTAATTTAATTGAATTGGAAAATAGTTAATTATCCTGGAAATATTGACAGCAGCTTCCCTTCCTTATACAGAAAATTTTTCGCACAACAAACCTGTGAGAAAAAGAGTACAAGAATTACTATACCTGTTTTACAGATAAGGAAACTGAGAAATTTAAAGAAGGGAAATGATTTGTTCAGGGTCCACGCTCCTATAGCTGAGCCAAGAATGGAAACTCAGATCTTATTTTGAGGGCTTTTGGTGAATCAGAAAGCACACTGGACTTTTTGTGTGGATACATGGGTTCCAGTACAAAGGAATCCACACAAATACATATCTTAAATGTCTGATTTTAGAGTCATTTCCTTTTTAAGAGCCTTACTTTTTTTTTGATCTGTAAAATGGGGATGATAATTTGTTACACTACACAAAGACTACTGGGAAGACAGCAAGAAAAAAGTAGAATGTAAGCTGTTACTATTATTTTCAGAAACCCGTAAAGCAGGGAGGAGTAAGCCAGAAGAAACTCTTCCCAGGTGAGCCATGCCTTCATTTCTCTCTAGGCTGCAAACGTGACTCTCTGGACTTTATTTACTATGCCTGCCGCCCCCTTCCCCTTTCCCCCTTCCCCCTTGCTATTCAGCTTCTTTTTCTTTTTGCTGTCTTCCCCATTTAAATCGTCAGACATGTAAGCTCCTTGAGGACGGGGATCGTCTTTCTCCTGGTATTCCTATTCCCCGTGCCTGGCACAAAATAAGAACTTAAACATAAATGCTTGCTGACTGGACTGGACTTCTCACCCTTTCGGCTTTGGTTTGCTTCCCTGCTACCCTGGACTGCTCCAAGTTGGGGGAAACGCAGGGCGCGTAACGCATGCCAATGACTGGGAACCACTGAGAGAATGTAAAGCTCGTGCACAGCTGGGGTGGGGTGGGGTGGGGTGGGGCGGGGCCGGGTGGAGTGGCGCATGCGCCCAGGCACTAGGTTGTCAGGCTCCTCCAGCTGAGTAGGGGAGGGGGCGGGTCACGCGCGGGTGTGCGCACGCAACGTTCAGCGGCGGCGACGAAACCGAGGCTGGCGACGGCGGCGGCGGTCGGGGCGAGGCTGCACCTACCTAGGGCGGGACGGTGGTGCGCGTGCGTGCTTGCGTGTGGCCATGGGGCGCTTTCACTTCACGCGGGACCCCATCCCCGAGTCCGCAGGGAGCGATATGCTGCACTTGAACCAGCTCGGCGCGGAGGTGCGCGCGGCGCGGCGTGGGGTGGGGGAGGGGCAGGGGCGTCCCTAGAGGCTCCGGGGGGCGGGGCCTGGCCTGGCTCTCGGTGCGCGCTACGTTTTTCTGCGTGCTTCCGTTGGTTTTGTAAAGAGCCCGGGGTCGGGCATCCGAGGTTGGGGGGTCCCCATCCGTGCGTCACTGTGTGTGGACTTAGACAAGTCGTTGCCCTCTCTGGGCCTTCGGGACCTCATCCTTAAAATGAGATGGGGTGAATTAGCGTCCTTACGTCCCCGAATCTTTGATCCTGTGAACCCCAGAAAAAACCCGTAGAACCAAAGCCAAGGAGATTTTAGGGGTGGGGAGAAGAGGATCAGGCTAAGGGGTGGCCCCCGTGTTGATGTTGTGGGGGCTGGGGGGGGGAACTGCTGAGACAGGGAAGTGCAGCCAGAGGTTAGACC